AGGATGTTTTCACATTCATCTGCTGAAAGTGGAAAGTTTCCCTGTGCTCATTGAAAATACAATTTTAAGGGGTGGGGCCTACCAGCAGGATTTGTGACATCACAAATAGTTTGAAAGTCAGTCCTGGTCCAGTATGCAACTTACAATATCTGCATATTCATAGCTTCTGGAATTTCTAATGAGGTAGAAAGAGTAGATGCCTTTTTAAGGATTTTAATATGGAAATGAAACATATCAGACACTATCTATGTCTTAAAGGTCCAGTGTGAAACATTCAGGAGGCTCTATATGGAATATAATATTTATAGCTATGTTTTCATTAGTGTATAATCACCTGAAAATAAGAATCGTGTCTTTGTTACCTTATCTACAGAGCGAGCGGGTCCTCTACTGGCGTAGTCCGCCATGTTGAACTGCCATTTTTCTACAGTAGCCCAGAGGGGACAAACCAAACACTGGCTTTAGGCTTCCTCCTTTGCACTTGGAAGGGGAGGGTGAAACGAGGGTGTTTCAATGTGCAACTACACCGCTGGATGCCATTAAATCCTACGCACTGGTCCTTTAATACATGTCTGGGGGGATCTTTAAAGTATATCAAAAGTCCAACCTCCCAATCAACTTTATCCCTGTAAAAATCAACTAGAGTTGAGCGGTAGCAGCTGTAGGTGTGATTGTGTGGTTATTGAACATCTTGGAAAAAAAGTCAATCCTGACTTCCCCTCCATCCTCCCCCTCCCCCCACTCATGTCTGGTGGAAAGATGAATAGGCAGCTGCTACTCCTTGTACTTCAATGAATCAACCGTAATGGAGAGGAGCTGACGGAGGGGCCGGGAAAATAAAACCAAGAACTGGAAGTAGGAGGGGGAGGGAGGAGGAGGAGCAGGAGGAGGAGGTGGAGGTGACAGTAGGCTGCAGAGGAGAAGGCTGGGGAAAATACAGCGAGTGTGTGGAAAAGTAAAGAGGTATGAAAGAGAATAGAAGATAATGCAAGGGGGTGAAATGACAGGGAGACGGGGAGATATCAGGGGACAACAAGCTCACCAGGAAGATGTAAATATTGGTTCTCATTTACATTCATATACTCTATCCTCACCTTCATCTCCCTGCTACACAAAAGCACAGGTGGAATGTAAACTGAGTCTTTGCACAGTGATCCCACATGCAGAGACTGTTATGGTTGCATAAGAAAGCTAATCATAAACGGCTCTCTTCGCTGAGAGAATCCACTTATAGTTGGGGCTTATGAAGTGATTCCTGTGGAAGAACAGATATTCAGTGACGTCATACAGAGCATTAACAGCTTCTGTCCAGCAGATGCCACCAGATGAACAGTCCACTGATCTTTGCAGTGGTAAAATATCCCACTACAGTAGGTGGGACGCTGTGGTTCCCAACCTTTTTTGCTTGTAACTCCTTGCGGCAAGTCATGTCTAATCACAGGCTATGAGAGTTGTAAGTAATTCAAAGTTCAAAGTTTGTCTGTTTGTCAAGACCCCAAGTTGATCAAGGGGTGAGAGTGACTAAAGAATTAATGAGGTCAATCTTCATTTTTTTTATAGCCAGAGAGCAATAAATAAAACATCAGGGAGAGCCCTGGCCAAAATAACTTAACAGTAAGCCTGGAGAAATGTATGGAAGCCCATTTCCGCCAATGTGAGTAAAAAAAAAAAGATTCTGAAAGTCATTATATTGAGAAACTTTCTCAAAATATTGACTCAACATCTCAGAATATTGAGTTAGTATCTCAAAATAATGAATTGAATAACATACTAAGTCAATATTTTGAAAAAGTTTCTCATTGACTTACAGAATCTTTTTTTCTAGTGTCACATTGCCGGAAATGGTTAAATTTGAATAACAATAACTTACAAACTGTTAAACATAAATCAAAGGGTCACTAGAGGGCAGAAGGGTACTTCACAACAACAACTCACCTGCAAAAACTGAGCTACTGGAAGAATCATTGATATAAATTTTGATTTCGATAATCAAATATGAAAGCCAATTTTGATCGATTTTCTAAAAAAATCTAAATTGTAACACCCTTAACTTTTGGATGAAGACCCTACAGTGCATGTAGTGAACAGGCTTCCTTGACAACAGTTCCTGGTGGTGAGCCATCATTAGCATCCCCTCCTCCTGTCTATCAGGTTCTCAGCTGTCAGCTCCTGTCAGATGTCAAACGTGGGCTGGATTTGGGCTACTGTCTCTTTTACTGCAACTGCTAAAATGAATGAATTTCCTCACTGTGGTTCTTTTGGGAGTAGTGAAATGAAAAGAAAATCACACATCACAATCACACAGCTGAATGTTTCCTTGTTGCATTGAGAGTTTCATACAGCTCTCTTAAAACCTTTTATATAATGTCAGCTTATGGAACCATACTTTTGTTTTTGCATATTTTAGCCCATTTTCCATTATTCATTTGTACTTACATTTCTGGTAATAACTGTTTTTTGTCTTTTTGCTTAAAGTTGCAGTTGGTCATTTTTATAAAGATAACCTTTTGCCATATTTGCTTAAACTTTCACTATATCCTGACAGTAGTAAATTAAACACATAATCCATGAAAAGATCAGGTTCCTCTGGCTCCTCCTAGTGCTTCTAATGGTATTTACAAGAATCCAAAACAATCAATCACACTTTGGAGCATATTTAGGCTCCTTCTCAGCATGCTAGCATGACATGATTGGCAACAATGGATGCGCTAGGTCATCCAAATTCATCTTTATTCTAGCTTTTAAACGGCGCCTGCAGCCTCTGAAAGACAGTGTGGAGTGGACGAGGTAAGAATAATGAGGTGGCACTTGGGGTGTCCAGTCAGATTTCAGGGGTGGCCAGTGCCGCTGGTTAGCAGTCCCCTCCCTCCTCCCCACTTCATCACACTGAAATTCTGCTGCTGCCCTTGAGGACTGCCTCTTTATGAAGTACTCTCTCCTGATTGGATGAAGTGGGAACAGGCTACAGGAAGTGTATTCTCTGTTTACTGCAGAAAGGAGGGACTGGGAGACCCATGTTACGGACTCACACTCTATATCAGTGATTGCTGCTGGAATGTAGAGCTGTTGTAACAGAATATATTACTTACAGCTCCTTTTAATTAAGAGACTGACAATGTAATTGCACAACTGGGGACCTTTGTTGCATGTCTCCTACAGCACACTAATAAATTCATAACCCATTCAATATGAATAAACCATTTTAGTCTGTTTTCTGAAATGAAAGAGTTGTATCAGACAGCCAGTGGTGCTTGAAAACAGATTCACTATTTTCTTCTGTCTTAACGCAGAGAATAGCAGACACTTTAATTTATGGTAAGTACACAGTCTTTGTAATGAAATGGAAATCTCTGGAAATGATCTTTCTATTAAAGATGGAGCCAGTTTCACCTGCCACAGAGGCACCTCTGCTGATCACTCTCTGCCTGTTTGGGACTTTCTGTGCTACCACACCATGTTTCACTGGGTCTGTGTGTCTGTCTCTTATGTTTGGTTGTTGTGTCTCTCCACATATTCATTGTCTCACCTGAATATAGGAGTCGCTGTGTTTTTGTTACCTTAGAATGAGCTGTTTTTATCTACAGACACTGCGAGTCGTCTTCCATGGAGTCCACCCTCTTGAACCGCCATGTTTCTACAGTAGCCCAGAATGGACAAACCAAACACTGTCTGTAGATTATGATAAACAAGCTCATCCTAAGGTAATGAAAAAACACATTCTTATTTTCAGATAATTATATGATGATGGAAAACGTACCTATTGTTATTATATACCATTTCTCCCAATAGATCCTCTTAAACGTTACACACTGGACCTTTAACGCAGGGGTGAAGATTATTTTCTTATAGCATTGAAAACTTTTAAACAAAAGAGTATTTTCTAGTATTATTATTCTCTTCTATACTATAAAAAATCCCTGTAATATTCTGGCAGATGGGGTGCCAAACTCGTAAAATACACTAATTTTCTCTAATTAAAATAAAGTTTTAGCGTTAATTTTACATAAAATCTTGAAACAATGAAATGACCTATTAATACAGGCGAACACTTCTATAATACAAATAATCAGGCTTAAATTTACAGAATAGTGCTGTTATTATTGTTTTTTTCCTTATTTTAATCAGAATTTTAAAAGTTATAGAACAGTTATAATACAGCGTCTGTGATATTACAGTAATGACTGCTGTTTTCAATGATAAAAACTGTATTTTACAATGCTTGTAGACTGAGGAAAAACGTTTGTTGTAAAAACTTCCATCATTACTCAAGACATCTATCAGTTAACAAACAACTCAAAGTAAAATGACAGAAACAATACTTCTTTTTTTTTGTCACTAATTTTACATAATTTTACAAATGTATGAATGTAACAGAGCCATCTAATAAATAAACAGTAAATACCTGCAAATGTATTTTAATGATTTCATTTCATTTTATGATCATTTACAGTTACAGGCTAGTGTTTACCTCCTGCCTGCAGAGGTGAGCACTGATCCCAGTTTTCCTGCAGGAAGCTCTCGTACGGCTCGTGCTGCCTCCTCACATCAGCTGCGGCTCTCTGAAGGAAAACGATGCACGAGGGGGAGAGAGAGTGATGTGGGTAATGACACACGTTTGTGTGTGCGTTGTTAGGTGGAAGGGGGGAGGAGAAGGACCAGAGACGAGGAGGCAGCGCACGCGAGGAGAAAACCGCTTCTCCTGATTGGCTGCGAGGCATTGGTACCCAGCTTTGCCAAGTACGACGGATTTAACTCTATCTCGAATGTAACCAGAAGTGGGACCTTCAAAATAAAGTGTTTTAAAGTTACAACTGCGTAATTTCATAGGGGGCCTCGTTGTTATAGACGTATGTATCCCATACTAGTAAAAGCAAAAGTATTTTACTTCAAAAATATTGACCAAAAACCTTCACACGTGACGGTTTTGTACTGGGTAATTTTGGCGGTGGCCGGAAGTGAGTGTTGTACTTTGGCTAACTTTACTTTGATCCACAGAAAGAGGAAAGGATGTGACTCGAGCCTCTCTCTCGCGTGCCTCATCGGCCCTTCACTCGGTACGCGGTTTGTTTGTGTCCCTCCTGCCTTTTACCGTCGAAATGGAGCTCGGTGGAAACTAGCAGGCGTGTCCCCCTTCGACTTCTCGTCCCTACCATTGGAGAATGATCCACCGGCAGGTTATTTTATCCCAGGTAGGTCGCCTCCATTGTTGCTGTGTAACGTTAGGTGATGATATCATATCAGTCTCCAGCAGCGGCCCAGCGCTCTGTGTCATTCTCTCCAGTGTGTAAGAAGCGAAACGCCGAATTCTGTTAAAAACGTCGAGTGATTGAGTGGCGTTTAACGGTAATAGCGCATAACAGGGGATTACTTAAGAACATACGGTTGTCCTGGTTTATTTCTTAAATATGGAGCTCATATTCCCTTTAAGCAGCACTTCAGTGAAATTGTTTTTTAGAGGTGGTTCACCTTACGACCAAACACGGTTCTCCCGTAGCTTAATTTTCTATCGTTGCTAGCAAGCCACATTATTCCTAAAAGTTGGCATTTTATCAAATAAAAATGTAACTTGAGTGAACGTGAGCAATTGGATGTCTGCCGAATCAAAGAGTGGATGCGAATGTGAGAAAATCTTGAGTCATCTTCTATGAAAGATCTCCATATTTGCCGGTAAGCAACGCAGCGTTAAAGTAATGAATTTTCTGAACGGTGTTTGGCGTGATGTATCGATGCTGGGGATGTCGGGGCCGTACAGCGCAGCTTCGCCCTAGTTCCTCTTGATTAGAGGATGTAGCTACTACGAGTCCTAATATAAGGAGAGGCTTCCCCCTCCCTCTTTGTGTGGGGATTCCCATCCTCAAATCCTCTTAAATACTGGAGGAACACGCGACGGGTGTCTTTTCCTTTTGTTTTCCTGTTTATGTTTTAGTGTCGTGCCAATCAGTAGCATATAAAAAAAATAAAAATAAACCAGATGGGAGTGTGACATGAGAACAGCTGCTCATAGAAAAGTTTAAAACATGTATATTTCAAAAAAGCAACAAATCACTTTTAATATGTGACTTTGGGCTACATATAACCAATGATTGTGGTTGTCAAGATGTCAAGATGGTGAGTAAATCATATTGTCCTTCAGTTGGTGAACATTAGAGGTGTGTATCTCTCCCATCTAAGGTGATCCTATATCTATCTAGATAAATGAGCCACGATATTATTCAAGGAAGATGCATTTTAATATGGAACAATTCGGTTTGATACAGTGCAATCGGATTTTAGAAACATTTTTAAAAAAAAAATCTAAATTTAAATAAGCCAGTTCTATAAAAGTAACATTGCTTACCTTGAAATATATATATTTTATAAAATACCAGTGAATACCCAAGTATTTTTTTCTTTGGACGGATCATTTCAGAATTACATGTCATTGTGTTTGTTGCTTTTCCAACAGACACAGACAAAAAGACCTTCTGCAGTGATTACCTTAGACCCTGCCCAGTTGGACCTAGAAACTGTTTAATATCTGTGTCTTGCGTGTTCTTGCTTGTGCTAGCTGTGTTAGCATCCACAGACTCCTCGTCGCCTGGGTAGGTGTCACAATGCCATCTCACCAGGCCAGTGTTAAGATTTGTCGTGTTACCGCTGGACTTCATTGCTGTCTGACAGATGTTACAGATGGTTAGGCCTGGCTTCTTACAGAATCCAAATGTCTTCCAAACTTTAGATTTTAGATTTGATGCACTTTAAATCGGGTCGAACATGTTTGTGTGTACGAACCTTGCAAACCAAACGGCTCTAATGTCACTCTCGTCGCGAGACCCTGGTGTTGACCTTCAGACTGGAATTGGAATTTAGATCCATCCAGGGGTCTGTGTACCAATGTAGTAGCATCTACACCTCCATCTTATCACAAACCACTATCAATATACAGAAAAAAAAGTTTTTTCAGATATGCTGCTTTTGCTTGAAATGGCATTTTTATGCAATAATTGCTACTATTTTAGGCTATTGTTGAGCTACAACAAAATTCTACCCCCTCTCCATTCCTGGATGCCAGTAATTTCCCACTCACTATTTCTAACATTCTTATAGGCATATCTTCGTTTGGTTCCAGTTAAGGATGATTTTTTCCAACCTATAGAGAAACTGTGATTTTAGGGTTTCTATTGATGTAAAGTTAGTCTTGTTTATGAAGCAAACATAAATGAACGAAACTCTGCAGCAGTTGGCTGAGGTCCCAGAGGTGAACTCAGGTAGTCTATGAGGAATATTAGTCCTATGACAACACTTAAAGGACTAGTGTTAGGCTTAAAATCAAGTCATTTGTTGGGCAAGGCCTTGGATAAATACAAATGTATTTGGCCATCACTACCAAGATGTAGGACAACCATAAACATCTACAACAGCAGAATGCAACATATACATGCAGTAATTTGTCCAAAAACATCAGCTATAATAGTACAAAACTGATTGGTACCATTCTACTGCATAATGACTACTAAGTATTTATAATATGGGGCACACAGTAGCTCGTCTGGTAGACCCATGTAGGCTGAGTCCTTACGGCATCCACTGTTTACGAGGAGGTAGTTTAGTAGACTTCCAGCCCATGAGAATCAGCCGTTAAGCGATAAGCGTGGAAAGATCAGGATGTCTTTAAAGAGAGGAATATGAGGAAGACAGAAGAGCAATGAGTGGGGAAGGTCAATAATTCTTTTTAATGCTTTATAAAAAGTCAACAATTAACTTCCAGAGGTAAATAATGTGGGGCAAAGCCAAACTGTGCATTAATGTAGCTGGAGCCTACTGCACACAGGCTCAATGTCAGGTTTCATTTTAGACAGCCTGACCTTCCTTGGTTCAGTATATTCCATGAATGAGCTTTCAGTCTCCAGTGCTGTCTTAGTTCTTGAGATGGTGTGAAGTTTGTGATAGTGTCCATACCAGAGCACCTTTACTTATCTGCTATTCTTGTAAGCGAGTTGCCATTTATCCCCTGTTGTAACCCCCAAACAGGGCATGACCTTTGACACTGTTTATATTGTTTGTGAAACAGAAAGTTTTGGCGCACTGTAAATCTCTTTACTAACTAACTATCATTAGGTTCTGAGCTGCGTGGATTAGATTTTTGTGCTGGTGCTGCCCTTCTCTGTGCACTGTGAAAATGAAAATGAGCAGCAATTTGATACTGACAAAGACTGTTCTTTGAGTGACTCTCTCTCACACAGAGGACACGGCTCTGTGATATTTCTGCCACGCTGGCCCTGATCAGACAGATGTAGACCAAACTGACAACACTGTTTTTGTGAGTTTGAAGGAGGGGTGGCATGAAACCTGCCTGTGACATTCACTGAAACAGAAATTGTGCTCTAAAACCAGGCACATCTGAAGATTAGATTCTTATATTATTATGATTATTTTAATTATTGATCTACCTGTGGATTATTATCCCAATTATTCTTTTAGTTTGTGTGCCTGAAAAAATGTGCCAATCTTTAGTAGTGAACTACTTTAATGCTATGATTATAGGATTGTGTGATACTGGATGAGTAGTTTCTAAAGTCTTCATCAGTGCTGGAAATGTACATTTTCTGTCTGTTGTCTGGCATTGTGAGATAATCGTCATTGATGATGCCTGCGATAAACACAAAATGCCTGCAGACATACTGTATCTGCAGGCAGCCTCGTCAGTGCAGCTGCTGTGGAACAGTGTTTAAAGACTTAGTTTCTGGAGCCCTGTAAACCCCAAATTCCACCAGGAACCACTTTATGACACCAGGTCTATGATGCGCTTTGACTCTATGATCCTCCTCAAATCTTCTTTAACCTGCCACTGACGAACTGACTTCTGGCCTGGTGCCAGTATGTGGCCTGTGTTTGACTTCTGTCAGTGCGATATGATGCAAGTAGGTTGCGGCTAGTGATAATCGGTCGGCCAATTAATGAAGTTCCTCATCATCTTGTCATCAGCGTCTTTTCTAAATGTTAACATGTCTCTCTAATCTAAAACCGGCTAGTGTTAAATATCTATTATATTATAATGCAGTGTTTCCTCTATGTTGATTTTGGAGTGGCGGCCTGCCGCTGTTAAATTTCTGCCGCCACGGTATCAGAAATGGGGCAGACGCACAATGTAGTCACGGTTGCCTTTTAAATGATCTTGCCGACATAATGCATCCCCGTTGGCTGCCACTCACACTCACATCCAACTATTTTTCTTTTTCCATTAATTCATAGAAATTCCATCTAAAAAACATGTTACTGGCTATATTAGATTGTAATGTCCATAGAACAACAGCATTAGAAATAGCTTTGTTTCAGTATCAGCATTATTTATGCTCTTTAAGTACTGGCATCGGCCACTGAAAATCCTATACACTCCAGTAAAAGTTGAGTCAGCTCAGTGAGTTTAGAACGGTTGGGGTTTCAGCAATGTTAGAAGTGGGTCTGAATTCAGCCACGTCTTGCTACTTTTTGGCAGTGAAAGGTTTTAGGAGCCCTGCAGGTACATGCTGCAGTTTGGGCAAACATCAAAGCTCAAGCACATAAAATCTAGTTAAGCAGCAGCCTTTGCTGCCCTTGTGCTGTTTTCTCTTTCACATATAGCCAGAGAAAACAATGTTGTGTGAAGTGTTCATGTAGAGTATGTGATCACAATGGAGTAGAGATGAATCTATGAGTCAATTCAGTTAGTCAGTCAAGACAAAATTAATTGCCAGCTATTTTAATCATTTATTGGTTAATTTCATAATTTTTTCCAGAAAAAATGCCAAACACTCACTGGTATTATCTGCTCAAATGACAAGATTTGCTAATTTTCTTTGTCAAATATAATTTAATATGTGTATATTTGGGGTATAACTGTTTGCTGCACAAAACCAGCAACTTGAATATGTCACATATAACACACTTTACACTGCATATGCTAAAGTGATAGTGTGGAGTATAGAATGATTTTCATTATTTGAGCAGTTTAATACAGAAACTGAACAGCAGAACAGTCTCTCCAGACCTTGCTATCTTCCTGTTAAGACATTGCGGAGTCCTGTTACAGACAATGCACAAGGCTGCGCTCATACAGTACTGTGTATAGAATTTGTATTGATTTCCAGCACAGTATGTTGCCCTGTGCAGAGATACACAGTAGATGCTCTGAAGCACAGAGGGGGAATCTAGCTGTGTTGGATGAGGGATA